TTCAAATAGAAAACCGTTATTTTAAATTGTAATAATATTTCACAGGATTACTGTTTTTGCTGTATTTTGGATCAAATAAATGCAGCTTTTGTGAGCATAAGAGACTTATTTCAAAAACATAAAATCTCACTGGCTCCAAAGTTTTGAGAAAAAAAAAAAAATAAATCTTGCATTTCTCTGAAAATGCAAAGTCACACAGGTTTGGAAAGACATGAAGGTGAATAAATGATTTGGGGTGAAATCATCCTTCAATCAGCAGTAATTTTTGATCATTTCCATACACCCAACCAGCAATGGACCAACATGGAAATTCATACCATTAATAATAAAACTGGTCTATTCATATTATTAACCACACAGTATAGTTTAGACAGCAGTTTCAAGTTGACTGAGTGTTTAAAAGCCGTCTTCAATACATTCACAGTACTTTTTGTTATCAGGAGTTCAACTTTCCAGCCATGGCGAAGGAAGATCCTGAAGGAGTGGATTGGTTGTACAACCAAAAGTCGCTGCAGATGTATCTGTCTCTGCTGCGCTGCAGTAAGAAGGATGCCACTCTGGAGGCATGCTGTGGAGCCCTGCAGAACCTGACTGCTTCAAAGACCCATGTATGTACACTTGCTGGAAATATACATGCAACTGAACTTAAGGAAAAGTTGTTCGACTTGTATTTTGACCTCTGCACAGTTGTCCACTCTGATGAGTCAAAGCATCATACAGAAGCCGCATGGCCTGTCTGACATTTCACACCTGCTGATATCAAGAAACCCGGGCCTGCAGAAGACCGCCATGTCCTTAGTGGGCAACATGTCCCGGGTGTCATCTCTACGGGGTATTATGGGTAAGAGTCTTTTGTAACACTCAAGTGCCACAACTAATGAAAGAGTGTTGTCAGTTCTGTGTTCTGTGTTGTGCCTGTTAAGTAACATCTGCACAAGCACAGGAACAGACAAGAAAATGTAATTCGAGGAGAGTGTGCTGTAAGTTAGTCTCCTGAGCCTCTGCTTGCTGGAGGTACTTCTGTTTCTCACTCTCTCAACAGCAGGTCTGTGTTTGTGTGAATGGACGCCAGCAGATTGTCAACTGATACCCCAGAGGCAGTAAAAATAACAATCTCCTACC